CTAAGAGCAAGTTTAATAAGCATATCTATTAGCCAAGTTCACGTGCGATCTTTTTGAGACACTACAAGAGATAAGCAGTGGTACAACCACCTAAAAAAAGTACTTAGGTGTTTAAGTCCCTGAAGTGCATTTAAACTAGGTGATAAACACTAAGTTCAACCTATGCAGCTACTTGTGTTGCTGGTTGCAAAGAACAAAAATTACTGAACCAAGTATTTATGTGCTTGCGACATTCAGGCCAACGGTCAATTGTACAAATAAATCAAATAAGGTGCCGATAAATTGAAGTAGACAAGGCCATGTTCGTTTTACTGATAAGCCAGGCTGAAAGTACTTATCACTGATTTTTTGTGAGAGAAAAATATTATACCATAACTGATAAGCCAGGCTGATAAGTTCAAGCGATATTGTTCACTGGTCAAATATAGTGGCTCTTACAACTAGGTTCAAATAACATTAGACACACCAAGGACACACAAATACTTGAAAAGCTCAACAAATAAAACATGATTTGCAGTGAAACTAAAACTTGATTAAAAAAAGCTATTACTACCATGAGCAGCTATTACACTAATGACTTACAAATAAATCTAGCATCCACATATCTCCTGATGACTAGCAAACGGTCGATGATTGAAGGAAGAAGATGACTAGATTAGTTTTTAATATTTTTAAAAGGTCATTTTATGTCAAGCGATACATGTTTGTACTATCAATTGTTTTTCTTTATATAAATCATATATAAGCCACTCTTAAGTGTCTTTCTTTATTATAAAATTGCTGGGAGTATGATAGAACTTGCGCAGAATAATGGATGGACCCTTCAAAAGCGCTCTTGGATCGCTTGTATTTGGGCAGGCGGTTTCGGGCTTTCGGCCTTCTGGACCGTTTGATGATTTTGGCGAAACGTTGCCTTGGATCGCTTGTTAGGCAACTATACGGGTCTGAATGTAGCCCATTTAGACGCACCATTATCGTAGTATACAGAAATCTAAAAGCCCAAGCTGGGAAATCTGTGGAATGCCCGGTGCCGTCACCGGTCACCGTACTCCGTCACGTCGTGCCATGGCTCATCCGCAGTGCTCCCGCTCCCGCGCTGCCCGCGCACCGCGCGCCCGCCGTGGTCGGGCGTCCGCTGCCCACTTGCGCGCTTCCCCTCTGCTCCCCCGCCGTACGTAAAATGGACCTATCCACATCACCCGGCGCCTCCCCCTCTTCCTCCTCCCTCACCGTCACCGCGGCCCCAACCGTCACCACCGGCAGCAGGACGGTTCACCCCGCGCGAGAGGGAGACGCCGCCGAGGGCGAGGGGTGCGTCCCGCCGGATCGGCACGGGGGCGACGCACGCAACGCCATGGACGAGAAGAAGGTGCGGGCTGGCACCGAAATCCCCTCTTAATCGCGATATGTTCTTCGGTTAACGCGTATCCGGATTCGGAGTGTGGATTTGATGGGCTCGGTCCCCGTCGACGTGGCGTGACCAGGGCTCCGGGGAGGCGCCGTTCTTCACGGACTACGGCGAGGCCAGCAGGTACGAGGTCACCGAGGTGGTCGGCAAGGGCAGCTACGGCGTGGTGGCCGCCGCCCTCGACACCCTCACCGGCGAGCACGTTGCCATCAAGAAGATCAATGACGTCTTCGAGCACATCTCCGACGCCACCCGCATCCTCCGCGAGATCAAGCTGCTCCGCCTCCTGCGCCACCCGGACATCGTCCGGATCAAGCATATCATGCTCCCGCCATCGCGCCGCGAGTTCCGCGACATTTACGTCGTTTTCGAGCTCATGGAGTCCGACCTCCACCAGGTAATCAAGGCCAACGACGACCTCACGCCCGAGCACCACCAGTTCTTCCTGTACCAGCTGCTCCGCGGCATGAAGTACATCCACGCAGCCAATGTCTTCCACCGGGACCTCAAGCCCAAGAACATTCTCGCCAACGGTGACTGCAAGCTCAAGATTTGTGACTTTGGCCTTGCTCGGGTGTCTTTCAACGATACACCTTCAGCAATATTCTGGACGGTAACCAAATCACAAACCAGAGAACATATATTGTGAGATACGATGAGCAGCCACACAGTTTAAGTTGTTGTTCTTGATGTGTAATTTAATCACAGGATTATGTGGCAACAAGATGGTATCGTGCTCCAGAATTATGTGGCTCCTTCTTTTCAAAGGTCGGATAGTTTTCATCCTGACAAAACTTACACTAGCCCTTTATTGATATATGATTTGTTCAGGAGAACCTTTATAGGAATGTCAAGTTCATAAATGGAAGGTTCTCGTGTAGGAGTACAACACTTAATTTTGCTGAATTTACAACTTAACATTTAATTTTGCAGTATACTCCTGCGATTGATATCTGGAGCATAGGATGTATATTTGCTGAAATGCTTACAGGCAAGCCTCTCTTTCCTGGCAAGAATGTGGTACATCAATTGGATCTCATGACAGATCTACTTGGCACTCCTTCATCAGAATCACTTTCCAGGGTCGGTTCACTTTCCCTGCTTCTAGTATAAGAAAATCAGTTACAGGCTTTGAGAGTTGGAGCCTTATCTTTTATTCAGAATCTCTCATAACAGAAAAAATAAGATTGCCTCATCTTAATGCTAAGAAAGTTATTGTTTTACCCCTGGCATTATATTGCAAACTAAGGTATACTAAGGTTGCGTGTGTAGATTCAGAACTATAGCTCAATGCTGCTGAGGTATGGTTAGAGAACTGGATAATTTAGAGGTACAATTTGTACGAGGAATAGAATTGGTGGAATAGTCAATTATATTGCTGAGCCTCGTGGGCAGATTACATAAGAGTACATTCCTTAAGGGGCAAGAAGCCTCCCTTAGAGATAAGGCAAGCTGTGATTACACGATCCTAATCTACCACATTTAGAAATATCCTAATATACTCTAACATCCCCCCTCACAGTCATAACGGGAGCGGCATAGATGGTGAGACTGGAGAAGAAACCCACATTCGAAAGGAAATGTTGATCAACAACCAGCAAGAGAGAAAACCCCAATCAAAGGATCAGGAAAAGACTCCCAGGGTGGCCAATCAACATGATTGGCAACGCGAGCCCTAGGTGCAGGCGGTGTTGCCCCTGGCGGAGATCCTCATGGGCGATCTCCCTGGGGCACGTTAAACGGAAGTTTTAGGGTTTGTGGTCTAGGATCTAAACCTAAACTCGTGATACCACGTAGGAGGAATAGAATTGTTGTAATAGTCAATTGCATTGCTAAGTCTCGTGGGCAGATTATATAGGAGTACATTGATTAGGGGGCAAAAAGCCTCCCCTTTGAGATAAGGCAATTTGGGATTACATGATCATAATCTACCATATTTGGAGATACCCCAATATAATCTAACACAATTGGCTCATAGCATAATTATAACATTTAGAATTATCTGCACCTCGACCAGTTTGCTATTTTCGTCAACTGTAAAGGTTAAGCGCTTACTTAGGTCACAACTGGCTGCATACAAGCATTTATGTTGGAACCACTGTGAAGGTATATATTGTTTATTCAGTTTCTCCAAGTTTGCATTGCATTGGTTATGAGGCTTTTTGACAATGCAGAAGCTTAATTAATTAGTTAATGATTTCCATACAATATAATAGTAAAGCTGTGTAAATTAGCAGAATAGGTATTACATGAACATAGTCACTTAACTTTTAAACTGATAATTGACATGCAAGGCCATCTAAATTCCCATTTCATGTGAAGGACCAGGGTTTTTCTATTACTTTTCTGTCTAAATCATGTGAAAATCAAGTTTTAATATGCAATGTTAATAATAGTTTTGTTGAAAAATCTGTAGTTCACGATGTGAAGTCCAAATCTTATATATTTGATTTCAACTCTAGCATTGGCCATATCTTGATTAACTGAAAATAAACACCCTTGTATGTTGAGTTTGGGAAAAAAAATGTTTACACTCTAGAAGAAGAAGAAGAAGAAGAAGAAAATGCTAGAGATGTATCCATCTTCAAATTTAAGACCAAACCTGATTTACTGAACCAGCATAGACTTTCTGGAGGTTTCCATCTTCAACTGCAAGGCCACACTTGAAATACTAAGCCAGCATAGGCTCTCTGGTATGCATGTTATATGATACAATCCATTATGGTATGGGTATTGAATACTTTCCTCCAGTCTGGGCTAAATTTCTGGCCTTTCAGCTACACTGTAGTGTTATTTAAGCAATTGTAGTTGTAATGGTTGTTTTCTATTTTTCTTGTCTCATGTATAAGTTGAACTGAACTCAATTTGAATTTAATAATACATAGTGTGTTTCTTGCCCCCCCCCCCAACCCCCCACATAAAAAATATGAGACAACCGTAGGAGGAACTAGGTGGTTTTTCAATAAAAAGGTAACAGGTACCCAAACTCTAGTTGAAGAGGACTTGAGCTTGGATGGTTGGGTGCACATCACCATATCTCCCACCCAACCAGTTGAGTTAGGCTTACTTCCTTGTTTCTTGGCTCCTATTTTGATGATAATATAAGTTATATAAGTGTGTTTCAGTCGATACATAGTGTGTTTAATTTGTTAGCAATATACCCCCGCCATTTAGGAATGATAAACGTATTTTGATTGGGAAAATTCACATTTTACAAATTTTGACCAACAATTAGTCAAAATTATATGCAAGTTTAGGTCATAAAACTTGCTTCAATACATTTGTATTCAAAGTGCCTTTGAGATGGCGTTGACTCTTTAGCTATTGACAACCTATTGTAAGAGAAATTAAGGTTCAAAGTATACTTTGCATGACTTTTCTTTGATCAAAATATGCTTACTATTCTTGGATGAAGGGATTAATGTGTTCCTTTTGGTCCAACAATCATAGTGCAACCGTTTTTGCTACACTAAGCTATTTTTCACCCTTTTATCATTTGTAGATTCGAAATGAAAAGGCTCGCCGATACTTGGGTAACATGAGAAAAAAGCATCCAGTTCCTTTTACGCAGAAGTTTCCTGGTATAGATCCAATGGCTCTTCATTTGCTTGAACGTCTACTTGCTTTTGATCCGAAGGATCGACCAACTGCTGCAGAGGTAGTAGCAATGTCAGCAAGAAGCGGTAGTTTCAAAATGTTGTATTATGAGTTATGCTCAATACTGATATTACAATAGTGGAATTCAAGGCCTTAACAGATCCATACTTTACTGGATTAGCAAATTCTGAACGTGAACCGATAACACAACCAATCTCAAAATTTGAGTTTGAGTTTGAAAGAAGGAAGCTGGCCAGAGATGATGTTCGGGAATTAATTTACAGAGAGGTACTTTTAGTTAATTCTACTGTGGTTATTATGGTATTATGTTACTAATTCATGATGTATCTGTTTAGACATTGGAATACCATCCTCAGATGTTGCAGGAGTTTCTTGGTGGTGGGGATAAGGCGAGCTTTGTGTACCCGAGGTGTGAGCGTGTTGTTCTGTTGCTCTTCTTAAATGCGGATTATACTGTCTTTGAAAAGTCTATAGTATACTTCATTTGTTTGATAGTATTGAGAACCACAACAAAGAAAGACATAGTCGAATTCCTTTTTCTGAAAGATGTGTGCTATCTTAATTTTTTCTCACTGGGTAAAATTTGGTAAAAATGTTTATTTTTAGTTGGTGTTACTTGACATCTCTACTCTGAACTTTAACATGTTGCAATGGTAATATAAAATTGCACTGTTTGGGAGAACTTCGCCATACTACATGAAAAAATAGAAGGCTAGTTCAGATCATTGCTCTTATAATTGCAGAATGAAACCTAACATGGTGAAGTGCTCCCATAGCGCAAATCACCTGTTAAATTACATACATTAGAGAACAGCATATCAAAACTTTTAAATGCTAAACAATTTTGTTTTTATCCAAGTTTCTTTTCTATTCAAACGGAATGAACTTGTATCTCTGATGCACTGTATATTGAATCCAAGCATTGGACTTTGCTGAGCATGAGTATTCTATTGCAAAGCTAATTAGTTGAGGGGCTGTTATAATTGTACCAATGGTAATGGATGCACTATTGACAGTGGGGTGGATCGTTTCAAGAGACAATTCGCTCATCTCGAAGAAAGTGCTGCTAAGGGTGAGAAGACTAGCCCACAGCTGCGGCAGCATGCTTCCTTACCAAGGCAATACTTCTGCCAATATTCTAAAGGACTTTTCAGTGGTCTTTAGTTTTACTGTATGATCGTGAGTTAAGTGTGCATATCCTATGCAGTGGGTAGGAGTAGGACAGAGTTGTTTCTCTTTTGTTGGGATGTAAATCAAAAGTTCAAAGGGTGCAAGTTGTTTATCTTGTATTGATACCGACGTAGAATTACTGGCTGTGAATTTCTCTAGTACTAATAGTTCTTGCATCCTGTCGCAGGGAAAGAGTAAATGACAGTGGCGATGACCTTGAGAAACCAAGTGCAGATTACTGCATAAGATTGCATGTATGTGAGCCACTCTCAAGTACTCGTAACTTTCTGAAGAGCGAAAGCATCAGTGCTTCCCAGTGTGTGGTCATCAAACAAAAGCGAGAGAAAGATGTAAGTGCAATAACCATATCCTATAATATACCAATTGATTCAAGTTGGTCTATCAAGATGACCCTGCTGTCACCTGGTAATTACTAACTTTCAACCAATACAAATGTGAAAGAGAAACTAAAAGGTGTCAGTCAAGTATAATAGGGTGGAACTCAAAAAGCTAATGTTGATTGTTAGATAGAGTACACTTTACTTCCCTAATTACCTTATTATATGAAAATACTGGGGTGTGGATTTTTACTCCTATTGCCAAACATAACCAGCGAGTTATTATCAAAATCAGCAATGCTGATTGGTTCCAACAATAACAAAAGAGAGACGCAGGCAGGAGAAGTTGATACTGACTCCACCATTCATTTAAAGGGTCCTCTTCTATTATATAACAGATTTTGTGTACAGATTTGCTATTATGTTACTACTGGTTGCCTTTCCTGTGCTTTCATTTTCGCATGACATTGTTCTGGACTTCTGGCCGAACAACCTACTCCACATGATCTACGAGCTACGACTCCACAAGGGTCCAACGGCTCCTAGGTTTCAGAACCATGATGCTTGTTCCAGAATCTTGCTGTTACTCATCGAATGCACTGAAGTTACATACATTATAAGTTGATATCTTGACTGAATGAATTATTATTGACATGCTAAATGGTGTATTAAATACGTACTTTGCAGGAGGAATCTATATCTGAGTATGTGAACGATCCAGTTGATGGTGTGCCACAGAGGATTGCTCAACTCAAAACCTGACAGCCTTAAGGTACATACCAGCAAGACCGATCTGTGCACATCGACCTGGCCATAGGGGGTACTTGGGAAGGCTGATTCTACAATCTTTGAGATTCAGTAGCCACAATCATTTTTTTGATAATTGTAGTGCATTGTGTTGTATCCCCCCTTCATCTTTCTATCTTGGAGCTAGATATTTGACTCCAGCTCCAGGTTTTTGTCAGATGGAATTCCTATTCACCCATGATCTGATTAGCTAGTTAAGTATAGGTTAGCCAGTAATTAATCGTAGCATATACAATGTGTTCCAACACACTTTTCTAACAAATATTGACATATTGTCATGAATTTATAAGACTATCCTGATTTCCGTTACCTACCCCCGCCATTATCTTTTTTTTTTTTTCTCAAACACGCATGAGAGTTGCGTATCATTATATTAAGCAGAAGAAAATGGGGGCAAGAACCTATACAAGAAACCTTACACACGCAAAACACAAACCACTAGGATCCTAAACAAACAGTAGCGCTCTTAACCAGAATTGGAGACGACCAGCTAACACACTCAATACACAAACAGCCCCTGGGCAAGGAGATGATTTATGCCTCTCGCCCCAGCAAAACCCCGAAAAAGAAGCTCCTCACTAGCAAGCAATAGTGCTCTAGCTAGGTTAGGAGGTTCACCGTCAAAAACACAGCGAGATTCCATAATGCCCAAGCCCCTAAGCTGATGATGGAATTGAAACCCTTTCTTAAATGATCAGGCACCCTTCTTGAGCTTTTATCCCACCAATCATGAAAGGAGATCTCATCAGATAGGGAGTGAGACTTTGTGGTCCAACTTGGCGCAGAACGAAAAACCAAAATTCTCGTCCCAAGACGCATGTCCACAGCAAGTGGTTAATATTTTCCTCCTCTTGGTCACAAAGGGGACAACAGGAAGGGTGAGGGAGCCTCCTTCGTGCCAACCGATCAACCGTCCAATACCTTTTGCGGATCACTAGCCACATGAAAAAACGGCATTTCCCAGGCACCCAAGTTTTCCAAATCCTCTCAGGCGGATTTTGCTGAATAATGCCCATCACCAAAGAACCTCCAAACATGAGCGTCTTCCACCTCTGGTTGTAGTAGTACTTCTAAGATGATATCCCAAAGGGCAAAATATTTAGTGAAAAATGCAGCAGAGAAGGCGCCCTGAATATCCCTAACCCATGTAAGGTTAGTTAAATCTTCCAGAACTGTTCTCTTGTTCCTTTTCCTTTTGGAAACTAATGCCAAGACTTGAGGGGCAAGATCAGCCATACTCTGGCCGTAAATCCACTCGTCGGTCATATAAGCCGGCAAGATCAGCCTACCCTGTTCGGCTGCTCATATAAGCCGGCTTATCAGCCATGGTACAGTTTTTTTTTCTCCCAACAAATCAGCCGTACAAATCAGCACAAGCGGCTTATAGACCAGCCGAACAAAGTTGCAGCCTCATTACCAATCTCTGAAACCACTGCAATAGAGAAGAAAGCTTGGACACACTTATGAACCCCTGCCATTATCGGCACAGAATTATGAGAACATACAAAATCATGTACAATGTATACCTATTTTTGTGTCTTGGAAACGTAATATGGTGACTTTGCTGATGAACGACGCACAGTGGGAGTGTCAAGTGTGGAGCACACATGTTTGCAATGCCGGTTGCCGGCAAAGAAGTGTCATCATCATGACCAGTGGGAACACATGCCCTCGATACGCATGCATGTTCCATCCTAGGCCATGAAAGCCTGCATTCATGTAACACCTGTGCCCTTTTTGACCAATGAGGAGCGTGACTAGCTGTAGAAGACTGGCCAGCAGCTTGAGCATATTGGGGATTCTGCATTCCGGGAAGAAGCTTATATTGTACTACCTTAAATTCAAATCATAGTTCGATTTAACTTTGCCATAAGTACAAAATCCATAGTTTCGATTAAGTTTTTAGAAAAATATGTTAGCATTTACAAGTTCAAATGAATGCACTATCAAAACGTATCATTTATGAATTAACGAAACTAACTCGACATTGTATATGTTCACACATTTTTCTATAAACTTTGTCAAACTTTTAGAAGAGAGACAAAGTGAACTATAATTTCAAAATGAAGGGAGTAGTAAATAGAAAAAAGTAAAACATTTTTTGAGAAGAAAGATAAAAAAATACAATTCTCTCTTTTCAAGAAGTCAAACAATTTAACTTTAACTAAAGTTATATAAAAAATTATTAACTTTTTTATACAAAATAAGTACCATTAGATTAGTTATAGAATATATTTTTATAATAAATTTATTTGAAGACATAAATGTTAATATTATTTACTATAAACTTGATCAAATTTAAACTATTTTGATCGGCATGGATTCATTAATTGCATTCTTTTATGAATGATGGAGTATCACCCAAAACCATAGAAAAATCTGGACCTTACTCAAAGACCGCAATAAATTATTTAACTCTAGATTGACACGTGGGTCTAAAGAGATACTCCCGTCCCTAAATAATTGTCGTCATTGGTGTGCGTACCACAAGTTTGACTTGATTTATAGAAAATATATGTAACATTTGTATCTTTAAATAAATTTATTAAAAAAATTAGATTCAAAGATCTTTCTAATGATACTAACTATGTACCATAAATATTAATATTTTTAATATATATTTAGTCAAAGTTATTTATCGGAAAGCGAAAACGACAGGTACTCAGAGACAGACGAGTGCGTGCGTTGGCTTGGTGCCACGTAACCCAGACAAGGTTGCACACGTTCAGCAACAATTTCAGCGATTTACTGGGACCCGCGGGTGGCTCGAGCACATGCTACGCTAGCTAGGCCTGATACAATGATGAACATGTGCTCCTATGAGTTTTGCTACTACTCCGTATGTGCTCTCCTTACGCTGATGGGCAATGATTTCTGAAGGCACATCTAGGCACCTAGCCATTCCATTGTGCCTATCATATAACTTGAAGGCGTGCACGTCCTCAAATTCAGTAGCGTGTTGAAAAACACATGAAGCAGGGGGGCAGGGGCCACACCGCCCAGCTGCATGCCATCGATCGGCATGCAGCATGCACGTTGGCACGATGCCACGATCTTGCTTGCCATGTTTTTTTTTCTCTCTCTCTAGCCCTCTTTTTTGACTGGAAACAGCGGCAAAAAGGTTGGATTGGGTTGGGTAGCTCCAGGTGGTCAGAAGAACCCACGAATCAGAGTCAGATTAGGTACCGCACCTTGCACAGTGTTTACGAGTGCTGCAAATGCAAAAGATATCAGGAGGGGTTTAAATCCAGGCCTAAAGTTTAAGGATGTCATATCGGGTGTTATATGGAGGTGTCTCATTGAGTGTTTGAACAGTAATAAAAAAATAAATTACAGAAGTTCTCAGTGATCCGCGAGATTAATTTATTAAACCTAACTAATCCGTTATTAACACATGTTTACTGTAGCACCAGATTATCAAACCATGAACTAATTAGGCTTAAAAAATTCGTCTCGCAAATTAGTCTCAATCTGTGCATTTAGTTTCGTAATTAGTCTAGATTTAATACTGTATACATGTGTTTAAATATTCGACGTGAGATGGCTAAATTTTTAGCCATGCACCGCCTTTTGCCAACATTTCCTCTTCTATACTATGGTAGTAGAGTATAGAGAACGTTAAAAGGTCCTGAAAGAGACATCCGGTAAGGTTCATTTCCTCCCTTTTTCATTCAAAAAGGCTACCCATGCGTATACCTGCATATAATACCATGCTTCACCAAGCGTCCCCGACCGCCGACCCGTCCAGAGAGAGATATAGAGAGAGAGAGTACTATGCAAGCAAGATCGGCCGTCATCTCCACTGTGGACAACGAGAGAGGCGGCCAGACCGAACTCCATAGGGCTTCTTTAAATTGAGTGGGTTAAGTTTTGGTTGTCACATCGGATGTTATATGGAGTGTTGTATGACGTGTTCGGATATTAATAAAAAAATAAATTATAGAATCCGTCAGTAATCCGTAAGACGAATTTATTAAGCCTAATTAATCCATCATTAGCACATGTGTACTATAGCACCATATTGTCAAATCATAGATTAATTAGACTTAAAAGATTCGTCTCGTAAATTAGTCGCAAGCTACGTAATTAGTTATTTTTTTAGTCTATCTTTAATACTTTATGCATGTGTTCAACATTCGATAGGATAGGGAGTAATCTTTAGGAGGAGAAACTAATCAAGACCTTAATTGTCGACAGGATGGGAGAGGAGAGACGGGTACGTGACCGGTTACATCCATCCATCCATCGGAGGATGATGCGAGAGAGATCAGTCGTCCGGCGTCCGGCCGGCCGGCCGGGGCATTCAACACTCAAGTGGGGGCAAGCGCATGCATGCAGACGCGCGCGGTGGTGGTGGTGGTGTACCCTCGCGGCATGCGACATGCCTCAGGGACGGCCAGCAGCTGGCAGGCATGCATTATTGTGCAAGTAGAAGCAGCAGTGAGCAGTGAGAGAGCACTTCATGCAGGGGGACGAAAGCAACAGGCAGCATGGAAGCGAGGTCTCGCCACTCGCCAGGGCGCGGCCTACACATGCAAAGTGCAGATGCGCAGGGAGGAGAAGCACGCAGGCGCATGCAGGATGGTAATCGCAGAGAGAGCAGCGAGCTGCAAGCAAAGCACAGGCCGAGATGATGGTACGGGGGAGTCGTGGGCTGGGTACGTACTCAGAAACCGCAAAGCGCAAACAGCGCGGTTAGCGCGAGAACACATGCATGGACGGGCGCTGCTGCATCTGCACCTGCGTCTGCGTGTGCCAGGCCCAGGCGCCAGCAGCTAGCATTGCTGCAGGCAGAGCGCGACAGCGCCTGGGCGATGCGTGGAGTCGTGGAGAACCGACCACGGCCAGAGCCACTGAGCCAGCACTACTACGTACTTGTACTAGCTAGCGTCATTGGTAGCTACGCGCTGCGGCCGGTATAGGCTCGCCTTTCCGCTCCAATATTGCCGCGTGCA